CTCTGTATTATTTAACTGAAAGTTATCATTATGATTTAACAAGGAGACAAACAACTATTTGATAATAAATGGCTTTATATGATCATTATCCTTCAATAAAAGAGCATTTTTTGGCATGATCAGTCATATTTTCAATATCAATGCCAACATCTCACAATTTCTGCCAGGGTATGCAAACTTTTGAGCACAACTGTAATCCAATCTGGAATATACTGCATGTACAGAGGAACAGAACGTATAGTCCCTTACCCCTGGGTGCTTAACCTCCTTGGCGGTATGATTCTTTCCGATTTTTTGTGCTGAAAGCGGTACCATTTTTTTGCATGGAAATATGTAGTTTTTTTATTGTAGGCTGTAATTTTTAGGAATAACTCACTGAAATCTGTCCGAACAAGAGTCTATTAAACATTCCGGATATGATAAAATTTGAAACACGAAATCATAAATTATAATTTAATAAATAATCATAAAAAATAATAATAATACATTTAATTCAATAATATAATCAAACCAAAAACACTGAAATTTGAATTACAGAGGCAAATCGCACATCGCTGAGCAAAGTCGCAAAATTGTTTTCAGTGTCTGATGACAAATTTCCCCACAAATCATTATCACTCAATTCTGCAAGTGGTTCTGATTTACTATCGCTGTTCTAAAACCGCTTTTGACGTAAAGGGACGCTTTTTGGACGCCAAGTTTCCAGGCAGAAAGAACATTCAAAATGCAGGCAGGGCACAGGACAAAGCAATAGGGACAAAATATATGTGAAATGCATTGAAATAGCAATGACAGCAAAAATTACATTTTTTAAAAAATTCAAATTTCCCGCCGTACGTCCTGATGTCACAGGGACCGGAACAATGAAGCCGGATGCCGGCATCGGCCGGAGGAGATGGTCGGGGACGCTGCAGGGGACACATCGCGGGAGTGAAGGACAAGGTAAGTGCTGCAGGGACCCCAGAGCAGAAATAGAAATTTTACCCCGAGCTACACTCGGGATTACCGCTAAGGAGGTTAATTATCCAAACATCTACCAATTGACATTGATGTGACATCTTTTCTAAAGCTTTTAAAAGTTTACTTCCATCCCTCTGCACATGCGAAGTATCCATCTGCGGATCCATGCAGAAAGTAAAGTCCCTTGCAGCAATTAGTTTCCCTTTCTTATAATCTATCAGTTTCCTTAGTGTCTCCTTTAATTAGACTATTGAGCTCTTATTTGGACAGTAAATATTTGCTAGCGTACATTCCATACCATATAAATTCCCCTTCAGAAACAAAAAACAACCCTCTGAGTCTACCAGCCTATCTTCTATAAATCTTCTATCTTCTATCTTCTGAGATAAATGTGTCTCTTATTTATTTATTTCAGGTACTTATATAGCGCCGTCAATTTACGCAGCGCTTTACATATATATTGTACATTCACATCAGTCCCTAACCCTCAAGGGGCGTACAATCTAATGTCCCTAACTCACATTCATATACTCTTGTAACAATACAATATCAATTGAGCGTTGCCAAATTTCCCTGGTAATCTTATGTCTTTTAACCGGAGTATTCAATCCTTTTACATTATAGGTCATAACATTAACTATGTTCTTGTCCAACATCTCTTAATACTAAAACCTTTTTTCTTTTGGGTTACACAGAGAGAGCAATCTGTATAATAAATTTGGAACCAGAGGAGAGTTTTGAAATAGCCCTTTCTCACCAACCTACCCTCCCACCTGCCATCCTCCCTCCTCCTCCCTCCCCTCCCCCCTTAAGCCCATCTGGCCCATAACCAGCCCTTGGATCTGTTGTGGATCTAACCCCACCCTCGATCCCTCTACTCTGTCCATAGGTGCCCCCCAGCACCTCCTACTCCTCCCTTGAGGGTGTAGATTCTAGAGCGTGTGGGGCCTTCATATATCCCACAATTAATTTACCTTTCCCCCATACCTCCACTCAAAACTAATTCCCCTGCCCCTCTCCTCTCCCCCTCCCCCCCTCAAAAATCCCCTCCCAACTCCTATTTCAATACTATACAAGGCTGGATGTCTCTCAGGAAAAATGGGGAGAAGGTAGGAGAAAAAAAAAGAGAGAAGGGGAGGGGGAGAGAGAGAAGGAGCAACAGGGTCAGTCCAAGGACAGCCTTCTCCTCTACCCCCCTCTATTAATATCCCTTATGGAGTCCCTCAAATATTAATTTCTTCTTTCTCTTGTTCTCTTTTTTCTGTCCAACTCATCTCATCTCTGCTGAACTCTTTTTCTTGGGAAAATTATTTGCCACCTCTCTTGTGCCAGTTCTACTAATCCCTACTAATTCACAAAAATGTGAAGTGTAAATAAAAACACAAACACATTTTTTGACAAGTCATTTATTAAAAAGAAAAAAAAATCCTACAATGTACATCCATCGTCAAGCTAGTAATCCAGCAATGTACTTCCAGGTAAATCATGATGCTACAAAGGAGATGTACAAAGGAGGCCATAAATGGGCATTGTCATATTTGGTGAATGATGTTGCTATGGGGGATGGGTCTCACAACTTTTTTTCTGTCATTTTTGCATGTTGTTCCACAATAAAATTCACACCAGTCTCGAAGGGTCTGGTGTACAATTTAAGGGGCCCTCACACTGTCTTTTTTGTCTTTTCACATGGGGTCCCCCTTAAAATTTATACCAGACCTTAAGGTTCTGGTAGGCATTGGGGGGACCTCATGCCATTTTTTATAGCAAATCCTCATCTAGAACAAGGTTTGGGTATAGATTAATGTAATCCCCAGCGTTTGTTTTCAAGTAGAACAAAGTGGCTGGGAGTAGGTTGTAAGCATTGCACACATGCGCCACTTCACAAGCAGGGTCAGGACATCCCCCCCCCGGCAAGTTTTTTAATGGATTTTTGCATTTTTAATTAATTTTAAAGGATAAAAAAACTACACGCTAAAAATAAAATACAAAGATGTAACATCTTCCCAAAGGCAAACTTATCCGTTAAAGGCAATTCTTTAAAGAAAAAATAACAAACACATCATACTTACCTAATCTGTGCAATGGTTTTGCACAGAGCAGCCCTGGTCCTCCTCTTCTTGGGTCTCCCACTTGTGCTCCTGGCCCCTCCCTGCTGCCAAGTGCCCTCATAGCAAGCAGCTTGCTTTGGAGGCACCCAAGCAGGCTCACTCCTGAGCTGCTGCTCTGCAGAGCTTGGCTCAGCCTCACCCCATCTCTCTCCTCATTGGTTCACTGGCTGTGATTTACAGCAGTGGGAACCAATGATTCCCACTGCTGCTTCAGCCATTGAGGAGGGATTGTCCCCAGAGAGCCAAGGCTTCCGTGCACATCGCTGGATCGTGATGGGGCAACACTAAAATATCTGCTACCAGCCAAATTGGAATTTAAAAAAATATATTTTGCAACATGTCCTACAAAGCAGTTCCCAGCCCCCATGCCCAGAAAATGCCCAGAACTGTTTATATTTACTTCAATAGGGTTCCAATTCAGAACTTTAGTCATGTTCACTGAACCTGATGTAACATTCTCTAGGTTAGTAAGATAGCCTGTTTGTTGTTTTCTTTAAAGGCAGAGGTTGAGCAACCTGGGGATGAGTCAGCCTTGGAGTGAGTTAGAGAAGTCACCTCAGTACAGGCTGGGAGGCTCTAAAAGGTCAGGGATTTTGGAGCCTTCCCACTCTAACAGAAACTTAGAGAACTTTCTGGAAGAGGGGTGGAGGAGGGACGGAGGCTCGGATCTGCTTGTTTGAGGGGCCCTGGCCAATCCCCTGGCAGGAGGCTGGGCATGGGGTCCAGGGCAACCCTCAAAAGTAGCAGAGCCTGTGGAAAACCCAACTATCTTCTCATCTGGGGCTGCTGTGCTAAATTGGCAGTTTTGGGGCCCCCTTGCCCTGGTAATACCCTCAGTACAGCTGGGTGAAGGGGTGGATTTGTATGGGGTCTGAAGAGGTACACCAGAGAGTTGGCAGGCTTTTAAAGGAGAGACTATTTTTTTTGTCCACATTTGTACATAGTTGCTAAGGAGTTTGTCCTCAAGTTCACAGTTCCCTTGGGTGTCCTATACACCCCTCAACCCTAAGTTATCAACCCCTTAATAAAATCACAAAATCAAGCTCAATGACTGTTTACTGACTCTGAATGCAACATGTGGACAAAAATTGCGTGTTGCCTGGTTGTGCAGAGATGTAGGGGGACCCAAAACTCAGTGACTCCTAAGGGGATAGTGCTACACTTGCACAAACTGAACCCAGGTACATGTGTCTCATCATAATGCATATGCACTGTTTTAGAAAGTGATATGCAAAGTAGCCACGTAGGTATTACTGAATGTCTAAAATGCATGTGATCATCATACTGTTCCACCCAAACGATGAGTTAATTCTAATGTTTATTCTGTGTCTACGGAAATGAAATTCTTCTCAGTGCAATATTAAATGTAAATATCATTTAATATAGCATGTAAATAGATATAAGGTTACTGATATCTAGACATAGTTGAAGGATGAATTTGGTGTGATACAATTACTTTTCTTATCTTCTAAAATTACATAAAAGAGAACACGTTTTTGTTTTAAATGTCAGCTTTGCAAGATTTATATCTGTTATGCAGGAGGAAAAGAGCAATATCTCCTGACAATGGCTGAACTAAGAAAATCGTTTTTAATGAGGAATATGTTTAATCTTTACATAACGACCATTCATGTTTAACACACCTTTCTCATTAGTATGACTAAAGACTTTGCTAATGAGTCATCTATGTAGTAACAACAGTTTTGCCATTTTCCTTCCCTGAGCTGCATGAATAAGAACAAAATCATTGTAATCAAGAGGTAATGACTGATTGCAAACTGTAAGTTGATTACTATCCTAGAATTCATAGAAATATCCTAAAATTACTTTGAGCTACACTATACTAAGTATTGGGACACCCCTCCAAATCATTGGATTCAGGTGTTCCAATCACCTCCATGGCTACAAGTGTATAAAATAAAGTGCCTATGCATGCAGACTGCTTCTAAAAACATTTGTGAAAGAATGAGTCACTCTCAGGAGCTCAGTGAATTCAAGCGTGGTACTGTGATAGGTTGCCACCTGTGCAATAAGTCCATCCATGAAATTTCCTTGCTACTAAATATTCCACAGTCAACTGTTAGTGGTATTATAACAAAGTGAAAGCAACTGGGAACAACAGCAACTCAGCCATGAAGTGGTTGGCCATGTAAAATGACAGAGCGGGGTCAGCACATGGTGAAGAGCACAGTGCGCAGAAGTTGTCAACTGTCTGCAGAGTCAATAACTAAAGATCTCCAAACTTCATATAGCCTTCATATTAGCACAACAACAGTGCAGTGGAGATGTGTTCTCTGGAGTGATGAATCAGGTTTTTTATCTGGCAATCCAATGGACATGTCTGGGTTTGGCGGTTGCCAGGAGAACGGTACTTGCCTGACTGCATTGTGCCAAGTGTAAAGTTTAATGGAGGGGGGATTATGGTGTAGGTTTGTTTTTCAGGGGTTGGGCTTGGCCCCTTAGTTCCAGTGAAGGGAACTCTTAAGGCATCAGCATACCAAGACATTTTGGACAATTTCATGCTCCCAACTTTGTGGGAACAGATTTGGGATGGCCCCTTCCTGTTCCAACCAGTGCCCAAAGCAAGGTCCATAAAGACATGGATGAGCGAGTTTGGGGTGGAGGAACTTGACTGCAGACCTTGTCCGACATCAGTTCCTGACCTCACAAATGCGCTTCTGGAAGAATGGTCTAAATTTCCATAGACACACTCCTAAACCTTGTGGACAGCCTTCCCAAAAGAGTTTGCCAACTCAATATTGAACCCTACGGACTAAGATTAATAAAGTTCATATGTGTGTAAAGGCAGGCATCCTAATACTTTTGGCAATATTTTGTAGGTTCTAATGTTAAAAGTGTTGCACTCAGGATAATGCAAAATAATATGTTTTATATTAACTAGATCTATGTATGGAGTGTGATTGTCTCTGCTAACTATACCTTATCAGCTGGACGTTGAGCATAATAGATTTCTATCCTTAATGGTGATGGTATCAATAAGGATTCAACAATACATGGGTCCTCAGTAAGTCACAAGGGCGTGACGTAACGCGTAGATGCGGCATGGTGACGCACTTCTGGTGAGCGCCATCTTAGGACTCCAAAGTGCTTGCAGTACACCCATGGCTAGTGGTGTAAAGTGCCTGTTTCTACCCAAATGCGAGTTGATACCTTGGCGTTTTTTACTCGATTTACCAATAAATATAATATTGCACTATGGAGGATCTCTGTTTTATCCTTTTATGATTCCAACATGGTCTATACGTATGGATATGCCTATGGTCACCTGTGTATGGAGGAGTAATTGGAAATGAAGGAGAAACCAGTAAGGGGCTGTGGTATCTGACCTACCTGGAGATTGTGTGCAGGATCCGGGGAGATCTGAAAAGCTTTTTGACCCTTGAGGGTCACAGCAGGAAGGTGAGCGGGCATGTCGGCCATTTAGGATTTACTCACCGCTTGCACTAGCACTGGAGCACCTGAATAAGGAAAAAATATTGCTACACTCTCGCCATCAGCATGTATGATGGTTGAATAAAGACATTAGAGTTATACTTGATTTTATAGCAGATGTGAATTATACACTGAGCACCTGTTGTTTCTATTATATATCCCTTCACAGAGACCCACTTTTGTGTATATTACACCTGAATATCTGGGATTGGTCCCATTGAGGGACAGGTTGTGGCACGCATTTGGGTCCTATAGGACCATATGTTTTTTCTGCACCTTTTACCACCTGATAGATCCTGCCAGATCTAACACACTTATAGGTATTTACCACTGTATATCTGTCTATGTATACTGATCTGTATCCAATGATATATGTTTCAGATGGTCATTACTCCTTCTGTGCATAGAATATGATATAGCGCTGCACCATTTTGTTATATTCCATTGTCCTGATATAGGTATAGGAATAGGTGTTAGCTGCTTATATTAAGATTCCTTTTTTTCTTAGCAGCGCAGGAGGATCTTCATAATATTTTCATCTAATAAGGAAAATTATAGACATAAATATTGAACAGAACTTTAACCAAGCCGTTTAAACTCGATGGAGTATATAGAATAGGCAGACCCCAACAAAAAGAAGGCAGAAAAGGAAACCCAAGAGACATAATTGTACAATTCCATTATTATCGGGATAAAGAGGAGATCTGGAAAAAGTTAAAAGGAAGAGCAATAATAAAATATGGGGAAGTAAATATACAGATTTTTGCTGATATTACAGCAGAAACACTGATAAGAAGGAGATCTTTAAAACCATTACTGGAACAAATAAGAAGGCAGAATGTTCAAGATAGACAGGGTTTTCCTGCTTGCCGAGAATTAAACATATGAAGAAAAGAGATTATACATTCTACTCTCATGCACACAAGATTTATTCCAGATTGGGCTATATATTGTTGGACCATAGACTCATTGAGTCTCTGGTTAAAGTAAACATAGAAGCTATAACAATATCGGACCATGCACCTGTCATAATGAAGCTAATATGGGGAAAAGAGCAAAATACAGGTAATAGTTGGAGATTAAACGAGACACTTCTTCAGGATCAGGAGGCAGATCAGATAATTAAAAAAGAAATAGAACAATATTTTGAAAGAAATGAGACTGAAGAGGTGTCAATAGCAATGGTATGGGAAGCTCACAAGGCTTATATTAGAGGAATCCTAATAGCGATCGGGGTGAAGAAGAAAAAAGAAAAGAGAAAAAATAAATATACTCCTTAGAGAATTATTTGAATTAGAACAAATACATAAAAATTGAATAACAAGGGAGATTAAGAACAAAATAATTAATAAAAGAGAAGAATTAAATAATTTTCTTGAGGATGAGAAGAGGAGAATGTTTAATAAGATGACAAGTGAGAGGTATCGATGGGTTGATAGACCAGGAAAATATTTAATGAGAGCACAGAGCAAAAAGACATCTAGGAATTATATAGAGAAAATAAGAGATAGTAAAGGAGAACTAGTATATTCAACTTGGAATATAGCTAAAATATTTGACGAATATTATAATAAGCTATATAATATTAATCCCCAAGGGTCAATAAAGGAAGAAGAAAGAAAAAAAAAGGCAGGCATAATTAGAAAAGGCGGGTTTGTCTAAAATAAAAGAACAACTAAAAACCCTCACAAGAGAAATAACGCAGGAAGAAATAGATATAGCATTGAAGGGTACTACAGTAGGGAAAAGCACAGGACCTGACGGATATACTGTAAGATATTATAAAAAATATATAGATCAATTAATATCCAAATTAGAGCTATATATGAATGCTTTGGGAGGTGAGATGGAAATGAGGGAGGAATCTTTGAAAGCCCATGTTGTAATTATACATAAAGAAGGAAAAGATGATACTCAGTGTTCCAACTATAGACCGATATCCCTATTAAATATAGATACTAAATTATATGCAAACGTTCTGGCTAACAGAATGAGGGATTTAATGTCGGAATGGATTCATATAGATCAAGTGGGTTCTGTCCCGGGGACGGAAGGTAGACCCAATGAATTAAGATCGCTAATCCTTATTCAAAAAAGTAAGAAAGAAAAAACTCCCATGTTGTTACTCTCTGTTGATGCGGAAAAAGCTTTCAATAGAGTAGATTGGGGATATATCTTGGATACATTGGAGGCTTTGGGGATGGGACCCAGAATGAGAGAATGGATAAGAAAACTGTCCAGTAAACCCTCGGCAGCAATAATGGTTAATGGGGAATTGTCAGAGTATTTTGTGATGCATAATGGGATCATTGGACAAGGATGTCCACTTTCACCATTACTGTTTGTCCTGTCCTTGGAATCACTTTTGACTACTATAAGCAAAAATATAGATATAATGGGAGTAAGGATAGGAGAGACGGAGCATAAGGTGGCAGCTTATGCAGATGACTTGTTGTTCTATGTGGTCAATCCTAGGATAACCTTGCCGAACTTAATGAAAACATTAAAAGAATATGGTGAGGTAACAAATTTAAAAATAAATCTCATGAAATCGGAAATCTTAAATGTAAACCTGCTGAACAAAGAGAAAGGAATTCTACAAGAAGAGTTCCCATTTATATGGAAGGAAAGAGAACTAAAATATTTGGGAATAAATCTAACTGTATCACAAAAAAAGTATATAAAGCAAATTATATCCCATTATTGAATGAGATTAAGGGGGAAGTGAGAAAAGCGGGTATAGGAATTCTATCTTGGATAGGACGAATAACTGGCTAAAAATGGTAATTGTTCCAAAAATCTTGTATAAATTTCATATGATACCAATAAAGCTCCCAGGAATATATTTTAAAATAATTAAAAATATATTAATAAGATACATCTGGGGGAATAAAAAAACGAGGATAAGTTATGAAGTATTAAGTAAAGATAAAGAGAATGGAGGATTGGGGGTACCAGATATGAAGAAATATTATAATTCTGTTATGGTGGCACAAATTTTTGATTGGACACATAATGCACTTGGGAAAAGTTGGGTAAAAAAAGAAAACACATTAAGTGAGACACAATTGAGTAGGATAGTTTGGATACCACCCCAATATCGAGGACTGGTAAATAGCACAAGTTCGTATACAAGAAATGTATTAAAAATATGGGATGCAGTACATATTCAAATAGTTTGGGAATTTAATTCCATGTTAATTCCAATAGTGTCCACAAAGTTTTTTCAACCAGTGAATGAAAGCATAGCGGGGAGTTGGTTAAAAAAGGAAGACGCACAATTATGGGATATAATTAGAGATGAGCGAAGTATTCAAAAATTCGATTCGGCTGATTCGGCGAATTCGAGGAATAAATTCGATTCGAGGCGAATATATTCGCTGCGAAATTAACTTATAAAAAGGGTGTTTCTAGGCTTCAGAGAGCCTTTATATTAGTGCAGAACACTGTACCCTTAATTTAAATGCCCTTGGAGTCTGCTGGGGAAGAGAAATAATACTGTCAGTCAGTATGACATGCAGATGAGTGCCGTCGATCTTAGAATCACCGCACACTTCACTCATTTGGGCAGTCACCGGGCCAAAACCAGAGTGTGGAGCCACAGTGTGGCGGTGGAGGCAGCAGCAATGGGAGGCCATACAGCACCCTATGACAAAATGGAACCCACCAGCAGTGTGAGGAGACCTGAAAGTGGCACATGGCAGAGTGTGGCGATGGAGACAGCAGCAATGGGAGGCCGTACAGGGACCCATGAGACACTCTGGACCTGGCAGCAGCATGAGGAGGCGGTACAGGGGCCCATGACAGATTACGGGCCTGGCAGCAGCATGAGGAGTCGGTATGGGGGCC